TAATAATAATAATAATAATAACAATAATAATAATGATAATAATAATAAATTATATAGCTGAGAATATAAATTCGGGAATAAATACCACTGACCACAACGTAATATGGTGACCACAGAATAGCAAAAAATCCAACAATGAACGTGATTGTCCTGAATGCTTTATGAGCACGACGTTCAGCTTTAGTTTGCTTCCGTTGTCGTTGAAAGGCGCTGAATGGGGCAAATATTGAATGGACCATACGACCACGAGTTAGCGCTGATAACGACGAAATTTTGCGTGACATTCTGCAGACTGATTTGATTTAGATATTGAAACGTAGCATTCACCAAATAACTTTTCTTAGCATCATTTTGGACGGACGGATTGTGTTTGATGAGTTGCAGAGTAAACCAACACTGCATTTTTATGATGATGAAAAAGTATGCGAAACTCTACGGAAGAAAGAGAGGTGATTTAGAGCAATGTACCCGCCAGTACTTAAAAATGATGAATCGGCACCGCCTGCACGTGTTTTTTCGACAGTAGTCTTTGCACTTGACGTACTTCGATTACTCGCTTGTCTTGTGATCATAATAGAGCGTTTTCGATTATTCAGTAGAATATTGCCAGTTTTATCGTAACTATTGTTATAATAATCATCATTACTGTTACAATATTTGTTATCATTTCTATTATTAGTATCGGTATTGTCGTGTGATTCGTCACTGAGCGATGATCTGAAAGATAGTATGTTGCAGTTTGATGGCGATATGGATACTGATTGAAAGTACCCGGATGAAGTGGTCGAGAGTGGTGGTCTTGAGACAGTGAGCATTCGACGAGTGCGCGTTATGAATGCATGCTGCACATGACCTTTCATGCGCTGCAACCATGTTGTCGAGTGTTGCTTTGTGGTAGCTGTGGACGATGAGACACGCTCTATACTTGAGTCAATCTGATTCGATCGCAGTGCTTTTGATGTTTTGCTTATCAGTGCTGCAGAATCGTAATTCTTCCCCTTTTTCGACCCCTCAAATGATTAACAGCTGCATTATTGACCGTAATGAATCGTTGTCGGTATCATTATCAAACGCTCGTCTTACAATAAGTTGAAGTTTTTGGTTATGGTAATTTTGAATGATTGTTTGAGCTGATCACGTGAATTGTGACATACTGATTTTAGAAGCGACGATCGAGCGTTTGTTATTGACGAGCGTCGAACAATCATTGAAGTGGTCTCTGAATCAGCGAAATCCACACCAGAATCTGTGTACATGGCTGGAGTTTTTAGCTGCAAGACAGAACTGAAACTATCGTCGTTAAATAAGAGACTCAGAGAATCTGCGGCTTGGAAATCGTACGATCCGTTGTCCTGAAATTTCCACTTGGAGGCTTTCGCACTCTCGCTCTTTCTCCCTCACTTTATTTCTGTTCATAGAGCACAAATCATTTTCATTATTATTACCTCCGTAATACTAAGCATTCACTCCTCAACGAGCTATCAACTTTGCATTAAAGCAATATGAGTACGTGCACTAAACTTGCAAATTTTAAGTTACTTGTTACGTTCTAATGCAGTCATCGTAATAATAATAATAATAATACTAATAATAATAATAACAATAATAATA